ACATTTATTTTTTAATCCATTTTCAAATTATTTCAAATTTCTTAAATATTCATTAAAATAAATAAAATTATATCGGCTTTATATCGGCCATCGGCCACCCTGCTTTCCAAGATATCGGCCGTATATCGGTCGACCACTAGTAAACACCACTGTTATCTGTTTGGATGGTTAATAACAATTCACGCCGTGCTTAAAAATGCATTAAAAGCACCTTTAATTTGGTAAAAAGAGTTCATCTGTGCTGCGGTAATGGTTTGGCAATGTTGACCTTGTTTTGTCTGCCTGGTTTATCTCGAACTGATCTGATAATAGATTCTCCCTCACAGCAATTAATCTTTTAGACCTAAATCTGGGTTCCAGAAGTATCTGTGAAATATTCACTCTGTTTAATGAAATATCGAAGCATCACTTTCATTTTGTAATAATAAAGGTCACTGGAACGGTGCATTTGTCTCAAAGCAACACTGCTGTCCACTTTGTTTGTGCAGAGCTAAAGTTAATGATAGAATTAATTTGCATTCTTCAACAAACCTTAATTTGTGTGACCAGATTTGAAGTTGAAATTAAGTCTAATTTGCATGCAGCACCTTTGCTGATAGTTTAGCCATATTTTCAGGTCTTCATACTACACTTCTCATGTGCTCCCTCTGCATGAGCTTTGGTCCTCACGGTGGAGTAAATGTCAACCTTTGTCAAAGCTGTCTCGAGCTTTAGGGCTTTGCTTTCATAGCTTTTTCTTGAACCTTTCTGTCCGCTTGTCTCCATACTGGATCTTACTGATCTCTGGGTGAGCGAAGCAGGTTTTGGAGGGCTTTGAAAGGGTCAGGTGGCTCACTGCAGCTGTGTGCTCCATTCCCTGTAGTCCTAACAGTAATCTAGGTAAAAGCTCATGAGGTTCTCAAGTCACCATCCACTGACAAGGCAATTTATCTCATTTAGTGGACGTCTAGCACTCGACCAGCAGTCGCTTTTTGTCTTGCACATGCTCATACACACTTGCACTTACACCTTGAAGTGGCACAGGACAGGACATTTTTGAGCAACCTTCAAGTTTTATAGTCTGCTTGACCTTTTACTTCTCTCCAGCATTACTTTTCACACTTAATAAAAAATATTATTATTATTATTATTATTATTATTATTATTATTAAAATATAATACTTTTTAGTTTTATAGTCTGTTTGATCTTTTACTTATCTCCAGCGTTACTTTTCACACTTAATAAAAATATTATTATTATTACTGCTACTAATAAAATATAATAATACTATTTTACATCAACAACAATAATAATAATAATGTATTCTCATTAGTAGCATTGTTAATAACAGTTATTAACATTTAATAATTTATTGATGATGATGATTATTATTAATTTGCTAAATAAACATTAAACAGAATAAATATATATTATTAAATATATGCTAATAAGTAATAGCACAAAATATAAATAATATTGGGATTTTTTTATTATTATTTTATTAATAATAATTAATAGTAATTGCTAAACAGTCATGGTAAAGAGTTTTACGTGGGCGAGCGTAAATTAATTATGCTTGATTTTGTAATTTGTCAAAAATATACCTTGATGTCATTATTATTATTATTATTGTCAAATGCATGTGAAAAGCTAAGCCAAAGCTGCTATTATTACTATTATCATTAATATTTATTTTATTTATTCAGCTAAATAAAAAAAAATATTAAACAGAAAAAATTTATTTATTATTAGATGTAAAGTATGATAATAAATAACAGCATGTAACAAATATAATGCTATGAATGTTTTTTTTAAATGAATAATTATTAGTTTTTGCTAAAGCATCGCGGTATAGAGTTTTGCATGGGCAAGCACAATCTTAATTTAATGCTTAATTTTGGCATTTGTCAAATTAACCTAATCAGACAGTACAAACTCTCTACTCCACTGAAAAATTTAAGTCAACCACATAAACATCTGCAGCATGCTGTGGTCATCAGTTCTCATTTATATTAAAGGCTGACTGTTTTTGATATATTGAACATTGTCATGACTTTATTTGAAAATGTCTAGCAGGGCTGCTCTGTTTCGTTTTGTTTACTCCGAGGCGCAGGGGTTTTATTACAGGCATTGATCAAAGTGATGGCACGCTTTGAGTGATCGGCTCTCCCATAATCTCCGATTGTGCTCATGCTGATGGCATCGTAATCTGGAATGACAGTCCACAGGCTCAAATGTTCTTTTAAACCTGCCTACATGCAGCGCTGAATGTGGCGAATGCTGGCGGCATCCAACCAGACAACCTGCTAAGTGAATTCACAAGGACGAGATAACAGCTCACCTTGTGTTTGAAGAGCCAGGGGCGAGCGCACGGACGTCATCTAGGCTGGCGATGCGCGTTTCGATGTGTTGACCTCATCCTTGATATGCATACAGAATGAAGCACGTCCTCGTTTAGAGCCGTACAGCGGAAATTATGATCAGTAGTGTGTTTAGATGATACTGACTCTTCGTTGGATGCATCATGCCTCTGATTTCCCATGATTTAATCCCAGTTGTATGATTGTTGTTTTACTGCTGCACACCAGTGCAGTGCTTTTATTCTTTGGTAAATTTTGACAAGTCATTGCATTGCAGTTTGATTTCTGCCTGTGCCGTCTGCTTCTCTGGTGTTTAGAAAGGCTGTCACGCAGCGATCTGGCCATGCTCAGGGGACCTTTGCTTTGTGGGCTTTCTGACTCACAGGATGAATTACAAGAGGGATGAGTAAATCTGGCCCTCTGAGACAGATCTGCTCACCTCCTTCGCCAAAGTAACCCTTCAAAGATGAAGAAGAGCTAAACCCTGCACAACAAATATTGTATATCTTCAGTATTTGTTTAATTGGGACATAACGTAGAAAGCTGTCCATTTAAATATTAAAGACTTAAAGGTGTAGTCACAGAAACTGCCTGTCAGGAAGAGAGTCGAAGAGGATGCAGAACTAATTTGAGGCAGGAATCCTGGGCCAACATTACAAGTGGATCTTAATATGCTTAATTAGTGCTGTGTTGTGAGTGTATCTTAAGGTTTTTTTTTGTTTGTTTTGTTTTTTTGACATAAGCATGTGTTTTGATGACAAATTTGGTTTAATATGAGAGATTTGTGGTAATTTAAATATTTTCTATTTTGTTAACATTTTATCAAAAGTTTTATTGTAATAAAATGTAATGTGAATTATTTGTGACTCTTGGACAAATCATTAAGAATTTTTTATACTGAACTTGAATATTTTTTTTAGACAGAAATATGTTGTTATAGCTAGTTGTGTTAATTGTGGCAGGCCAAAAATGTCACCATAGCCAGTTAAAATCTGAAAAATTATTTTCATTGAAGCATTTTATTTCAATATTATTTCATTTTGATTATATATTATGTAATAAATTATTTTCTTATTTAAATACATTATATTTAAATCGGGTGTGCCTCACACGTCCTGAAAAGTGAAGCTGCGGGCTCTTTGATCGCCCCCTGGTGGCTGGCTGCAGTACAGGTCATAAACCCCGCCCTCTCCATGTAAACGAATGGGACTTGAGTCAAAATAAAAAATAAATTACACTTCCAATACAATTTTCCGAAAGATGATTTTGGTCATTTAAGGTAGTTGTTATCACGCTGATATATGTTAAATTGTTCGTTTTTTGTGATAATATGATTTTAGCTAGTAATTTGATGCTATAAAAACGGGGCATGTCGTTGTAGTTGATTGGGTCTGCGGGAGTTTGGGCGGGAGTTTGATACCGCGGCTCCACCTCACGACACTACTGCGCAGACTCTGGCTCCAAATAACATCATTTACTCAAGATGGCAGCGGCCATATAGGAGACGCGTCATCCATCTTTTTTTACAGTCTATGATTTAAATAGTAACATTACCATCCAAATTTTGGGTCGGTAAGTAATTAAAAAATAATGTATGTATATATATATATATATATATATATACACAAAGGTGCATCTCAATAAATTAGAATGTTGTGGAAAAGTTACTGTATATATATATGTGCTGAATATGTTTGTGGATTTTTATTTTGACGATTATTTGATGAATAGACAGTTCAAAAAAGCAGCATGTATATGAAACAGAATTTTTTGTAACATTATGCATGTCTTGTTACTTTTGATCAGTTTAATGCATCCATGCTGATTAAAAGTATTAACTTCTTTCATAAACAATCTTACTGCCCCCAAACTTTTGAGTGGTAGTCATAACAATGTATTTATTTTTATTTCAAGAATTAAACACAAGTGTTGAACATGGCCCCTTTACGTATCACTTAAACAAAAATTCTGTTTCTGGATAAAAGAGCTAAAGCCAGTTTAGTCCACTTCGGCTCAGTGCGATATCATCTCAGCAGCCAGCAGATATGCAGCATATTTGCTGGTTGAGGGATTCGTAGCGGCTCCCTGATGGTTTGAAATGTCAAAGGAGTGGAATGAAGGGCCAGGTAGCAGACAGAAGATGACAGGCAGGCAGCAGGTTTACAGTGGGCCGCGTGCCCTCGTCTTATCTGCTGTTATCAGCCGTCTCCTGGATCCTGCCCTCAGCAGAATATCAATGCCTCACTTTCTGTCAGTCGACTCTGTGTATCATGCAAATATGACTGATAAAATAAATATGGTGAGTTTATGGGAAGGCAGGGGCCGCCAGAGGTTACACGGCTCTGCCGCTGCTGTGTACGGATGAGGTTAGACTAACCTCTGTGTGTCTGTCTGTCTTTCTTTTACTTCAGGTGTTCAGGAGAAAAGCTGTTGAACTAGGAGAGAAGCTGTTGCCGGCTTTTAAGACCCCGACTGGCATCCCTTGGGCTCTTCTCAACCTAAAGAGGTCAGTGACGCACAAGCAAACACATTTCCGCATGAACTCCCGAGGCTTTCTTCAGCCAAGCAGGTCAGATCTCTCCACTGCATGTCTTATTGACTCGCAAGCGCTGTATCTGAATCCTCAAACCCAGCAGCGGCTCTCTGTCACCTGTGCACCCGGCTCTCCGAGATATGATAATGAATAAACAGTTTGGTGGGATTATTTTGTTGCAGAAGCCATTTTCTGCTCGATTCTTTGACTGCTTAAATGCTGCTTGCTTTGTTGTTATTTATGCTGTTGTACATTTTTTTTGTAATTTGACATATTTCAGCTACCTTGGTCTCAGAAATATCAAATAAAGAGAAGAAATAAAGAGATAGTTCACCCAAAAATGAAAATTTGCTGTTAATTTACTCACCCTCAGGCCATCCAAGATGTAAGTGAATTTTTTCTTCTTCAGTATAACAGTTTAGCTGAAACCGTGGTCCTTGGTGATTCATAAAATGCAAATCAGCGGCTATTGTCACTTAAGAGCATATAAAAAAAGCATATACAGGCCGGACAAAATTAATAGCTGTGGCTAGGGCTGCTCGATTATGGCAAAAATCATAGTCACGGTTATTTTTGGTCAATATTGTAATCACGATTATTTAAAATGATTATTAGTGGGTCATATGAACACAATTTTATATTAGTGAAAAAAGTCCTCAAAAATGATTGAAAATAATTTAACTGTCAGTAATACAATAAAAACAAAAAAGCAAAGGTAGAAAAAAAGATACAAATGAAACAAACAGTGCTTTTTTTATGCAAGTCTAAAGTATTCAGCTAACAGCATACAACAGAAATTGAATAATCAAATGTAAAATAAAACAGCATAGTCTTCACTGTAAGAATTAAACTTGCTTTGTTTCTTATTAAAGTTACAAAAGCCCTTCAGTCAAGAGCAGTGAGTGATTTTCCCTTTGTCTTTTGTTGTCTGATACGGCAGAAGGAATATTACCCACTGTCGCTTTAAGAGCTGCACGGATCCAATATACTGTTACACACGTATTTTCATTCTCAACTGTTTACGTTCACTTAAGCCATAACTGACGATTGTTTACATGAATAATCACCAAGCGCCGCATTTTGACACATTTTTGCGTGTATTTGCCCGTTTAGGCAGGCAGTTTAAGCTAAAAGTTTACTTTACATGTCCGTGTTCTGCTCCGTGTCGGAGCGCATACACAGAACAGTGCAGAACTTTCGCGCTTGTAAAAACACGCACATATCTAATAAACATTAACAAATCAAGCACGTCCTATTTTGCGAAAATCACGTTACATGATTTTACTGATTTGCACATTAAGTTTGGGCTTTTATGGAGGAGAGAAACCGCACCGCTGGAAAGGGGGGGAATGGGAATGGGTCACAATAATCGTTTGATCTCGATTATTGGATTTTCATAAACGTTGGAAGCCGAAATCGAACTATTTCGATTAATTGCACAGCCCTAGCTGTGGCTCCTGAAGATACCTTGAGGTCTTATGAAGCTAAACAATCAGTCTGTGCAAGAAACTGAACAATATTTACAAAATTTTTACCTGTAAAGCAGATTCATATACGAGTGGGCGGCACATGGCAGAGAGCAGAAACACACTTAAGTGTTTATCAAAGCTTTTCATATTAGCTTGAGTGTCCGGGGTGTGTTTCCTTGTTTAAACTCCAGTAGAACTGGAGTGAAGTGCTCTGACAAATGCTCTAAATGGAGCGTCCGAGCGTTTTATAACAAGGAGCGGCTAATAACATAGCTACAGGACAAATGGTCTTCACTTCCTGTCAGTAAATATAGCTTTCCACCATATCTGCACTTAGCACAAGTGCTCCTATCACCTCTAGCGAAGGCGCTTTCCTCCCTCCATGTGGGTCACCTACATCGTTAATTCTGTCCACATCGCTAATGCTGTTTGCTTCCACGCTATTGTTCGCTTTGGCTCGAGGCACCTGTGGTGCTGCCACCGTACGCCGGTAATTCGTGTCGCAGACCCTTCTCAGGCTGAATGTGGTTATGTAAGTGTATTCATCTAGTGGGCAGGCATATCCTAATGCATCTTCATGAAATGTGCACTGTTGAAGGCATTTTAAAGAAGGACAATGTTTTATTTTGTAAAAGGATTCTCTGGTTTTTATGGGCGTTTTATATACATATAATTAGGGCTGCACTTCACATTAGTTTCCATACTGCATTTATTTTTGTGTTACATTTATAAATGAATAAATTATTTATATTTTAATTTTGTATGATAGAAATATATGTAAGATAGTGTGTATATATATATATATATTTTTTTTTTTTTTTTTTTTATATATATATTTTATATATGGTTCGGTTCCAGAGATATTGGAATTTCAATATGGCTCCAGGAGTAAATTGTT